TTCGTTTGGAGCACTTCGTCTGGAGCACGTTCATCCGGAGCACTTTCATCTGGAGCACTTTGTTTGGAGAACTTTCGTCTGGAGCACTTTGCCTGGAGCACTTTCGTCTGGAGCACTTTGTCTAGAGCCCTTCGTTTGGAGCACTTCGTCTGGTGCTTTTCGGTCTAGAGCACGTTCGTTTAGAGCACTTTGTCTGGAGCACTTTGTCTGGAGCTTTTCCATCTAGAGCACGTTTGTCTTGAGCACTTCGTCTGGAGCACATAGTCCTGAGTATTTTCATCTGGTGAACTTCGTCTGGTGCACTTTTGTCTGAAGCACTTTCGTCTGGACCACTTCATCTGGAGCACTTCGTCCTGTGCACTTTCGTCTAGAGCACTTTCGTGTGGAGAACTTTCTGGAGCACTTTCATCTAGAGAACTTTATCTGGAGCACCTGGTCAAGAGCACATGGTCTGGAGCACTTGGTCTAGAGCAATTCGTCTAGTGCACATTCGTCCAGAGCACTTCGTCTGGAGCACTTTCATTTGGAGCACTTCGTCTGGAGCAGTTTCGTTTGGAGCACTTTGTCTCGTGCTTTTTCATCTGGAGCACCTTCGTCTGGTGCATTTCTTCTTGTGCACTTTGTTTGGAGCACTTTGTCTGGAGCACTTCTTCTGGTGCACTTTTGTCGAGACCACTTCTTCTGGAGCGATTCGTCTGGAGCACTTTGTTTGGAGCACTTGGTCTGGAGCACTTGGTCTGGAGCACTTGTTCTTGAGCACTCCTTCTGGAGCACTTAGTCTGGTGCACTTTCATCTGGAGCACTTCGTCTAGGGCACGTTCATCTGGAGCACTTTCGTCTGGAGCACTTCGTCTGGAGCACTTTGTCTAGAGAACCTCGTCTAGTGCGCGTTCGTTTGGAGCACTTTTGTCCGGAATTCTTTCGTCTAAAGCACTTTCATCTGGAGCACTTCGTCTGGAGCACTTCGCATGGAGCACTTCGCCTGGAGCACTTCGTTTAGAGCACTTCATGTGGAGCACGTCGTCTGGTGCCTTTTCGTCTGGAGCACGTTCGTTTGGAGCACTTCGTCTGGAGCACTTTCGGCTGGAGCACTTTGTCTGGTGCTATTTCGTCTGGAGCACTTCGTCTGGTGAAGGTCGTCTAGTACACTTTCGTCTCGTGCACTTCGTCTTGTGCACTTCGTCAGAAGCACTTTGTCTGTAGCACTTCGTCTGGTGCACTTTTGTCTAGAGCACTTTCGTCTGGAACACTTTCTTCTGGAGCACTTTGTTTGGAGCACTTGGTCAGGAGCACTTGGTTATCTTGCTATTGAGCGTGCTCAAACATCTTGCTTTTGGCATGCATGGTTAGTGTATGGGCTCAAGAGCATGCTGGCCTGTGCTCGGATGCAAAACCCAGGTGTGTGGGAAGTTATGGTATCTCAAGCGTTTTCGCATATCCAAGTTCTTGAGTGGTACCCCACCAAACAACAACCTGTTTTTTCATTTAAGATATTGTTCACCAAAACTCTTTTCCTTTGCATACATAGCTAGTGTATGGCCTCAAGAGCATCATGGCTTGTGCTCGGATCCAAAATCCGAGTGGTTGGGAAGTTATAGTATGCCTACTATTGTCCCATGACTAAACACTATAGCATTGCCCAACAAAACCTCTACTTTTCATTGTGTTTTTGAGATACAAAGCAATTTTTAAGCCCTTGTTTTGCATGAGAAGTTAGTGCATGGGGTCAAGATAATCGTGGCTTGTGCTCAGATCAAAAACCTAAGTGTGCAAAAAGTTATGGTATTGTATGTGCTCCTTTTTCCAGTACTTGAGCATTTTCCTACGAGACCTCAACTTGGTTATCTTGCTATTGAGCGTGCTCAAACATCTTGCTTTTGGCATGCATGGTTAGTGTATGGGCTCAAGAGCATGCTGGCCTGTGCTCGGATGCAAAACCCAGGTTTGTGGGAAGTTATGGTATCTCAAGCGTTTTCGCATATCCAAGTTCTTGAGTGGTACCCCACCAAACAACAACCTGTTTTTTCATTTAGGATATTGTTCACCAAAACTCTTTCCCTTTGCATACATAGCTAGTGTATGGCCTCAAGAGCATCATGGCTTGTGCTCAGATCCAAAATCCAAGTGGTTGGGAAGTTATAGTATGCCTACTATTGTCCCAAGACTAAACACTATAGCATTGCCCAACAAAACCTCAACTTTTCATTTTGTTTTTCAGATACAAAGCAATTTCTAAGCCCTTGTTTTGCATGAGCAGTTAGTGCATGGGGTCAAGATAATTGTGGCTTGTGCTCAGATCGAAAGCCTAAGTGTGCAAAAAGTTATGGTATTGTATGTGCTCCTTTTTCCAGTACTTGAGCATTTTCCTACGAGACCTCAACTTGGTTATCTTGCTATTGAGCGTGCTCAAACATCTTGCTTTTGGCATGCATGGTTAGTGTATGGGCTCAAGAGCATGCTGGCCTGTGCTCGGATGCAAAACCCAGGTGTGTGGGAAGTTATGGTATCTCAAGCGTTTTCGCTTCGCTTTGCTTTGCTTCGCTTAGCTTCGCTTCACTGCGCATACCTGTGCTTAGCTTCGCATTGATTCTCTTAGCTTCGCTTCGCTTCTCTATGCTTCTCTTTGCTTTGCTTAGCTTCACTTAGCTTCACTTAGCTTCGCTTCGCTTCTCTTTGCTTCTCTTCGCTTCGCTTTGCTTCGCTTAGCTTCGCTTCCCTTAGCTTCGCTTAGCTTTGCTTCGCTTCGCATAGTTGCGCTTAGCTTTGCTTTGCTTCTCTTAGCTTCGCTTCTCTTCGCTTTGCTTCTCTTTGCTTCTCTTTGCTTCGCTTCGCTTACCTTCGCTTACCTTCGCTTCGCTTCGCCTCACTTCGCTTAGCTTCGCTTCTCTTCGCTTAGCTTCGCTTAGATTCGCTTAGCTTCGCTTCGCTTCGCTTAGCTTTGCTTTCCTTAGCTTCCGTTTGCTTCTCATAGCTTCGCTTAGCCTTGCTTTGCTTCGCATAGCTGCGCTTAGCTTAGCTTCGCTTCGCTTCCCTTAGCTTCAGTTCGCTTCCCTTAGCTTCACTTCGCTTCGCTAAGCTTAGCTAAGCTTAGCTAAGCTTTGCTTCGTTTCACTTTGCTTCGCTTAGCTTCGCCTAGCTTCACTTCGCTTCGCTTAGCTTCGCTTCGCTTCGCTTAGCTTCGCTTCGCTTCCCTTAGCTTCGGTTCGCTTCCCTTAGCTTCGCTTCGCTTCTCTTCGCTTCGCTTCGCTTCGCTTCGCTCTGCTTCGCTTAGCTTCGCTAAGCTTCGCATACCTGCGCTTAGCTTTGCTTCGTTTCGCTTCGCTCTCTGTGCTTCTCTTCGCTTCGCTTCGCTTAGCTTCCCTTCGCTTCTCTTCGCTTCTCTTCGCGCTTAGCTTCGTTTTGCTTCGCTTAGCTTCGCTTTGCCTCTCTTCGCTTCTCTTCGTTTTGCTTCGCTTAGCTTCGCTTCGCTTCGCTTAGCTTCGCTACGCTTAGCTTCACTTAACCTCGCTTTGCTTCACGTAGCTTCGCTTTGCTTAGCTTCGCTTTGCTTCGCTTAGCTTCGCTTAGCTCGTTTAGCTTCGCTTGGCTTTGCTTTGCTTCTCTTCGCTTAGCTTTGCTTGGCTTCGCTTAGCTTCACTTCGCTTCGCTTTGCTTTGCTTAACTTCGCTTAGATTCGCTTGGCTTTGCTTCGCTTCGCTTAGCTTTGCTTCGCTTCGCTTAGCTTCGCTTCGCTTCGCTTAGCTTTCCTTAGCTTCGCTTCGCTTCGCTTCCCTTAGCTTCGGTTCGCTTCTTATAGCTTCACTTCGCTTCGCTTAGCTTCGCTTAGCTTCGGTTCGCTTCGCATAGCTGCGCTTTGCTTCGTTTTGCTTCTCTTAGCTTTGTTTCTCTTCGCTACACTTCTCTTTGCTTCTCTTCGCTTCGCTTCCCTTCGCTTAGCTTCGCTTTTCTTCGCTTAGCTTTGCCTAGATTCGCTTAGCTTCGCTTTGCTTGGCTTAGCTTCGCTTAGATTCGCTTAGCTTCGCTTCGCTTTTCTTAGCTTCCCTTCGCTTCGCTTAGCTTCGCTTTGCTTAGCTTCCCTTAGCTTTTCTTCACTTCGCTTCGCTTCTCTGCGCTTAGCTTCGCTTCGCTTTGCTTAGCTTCGCTTCGATTCGCTTCGCTTTGCTTAGCCTTGCTTCGCTTCGCTTAGCTTCGCTTCGCTTCGCTTAGCTTCACTTTGCTTAGCTTAGATTCGCTTCGCTTCGCTTCGTTTAGCTTAGCTTCGCTTCGCTTCCCTTAGCTTCAGTTCGCTTCCCTTAGATTCGCTTCGCTTCGCATTGCTGCGCTTAGATTCGCTTTGCTTCTCTTAGCTTCGCTTCTCTTCGCATCGCTTCTCTTTGCTTCTGTTCGCTTTGCTTTGCTTAGCTTCGCTTCGCTTAGCTTTGCTTCGCTTAGCTGCGCTTAGATTTGTTGTGTGATGTGATCATATGCTTTCACATTCTTTCTGCCTCCCATCCCATGTTTTCAACTTGCACGTATGGTTTGACGACTTTTCTGTCCAGAATTTCGGATATATATTTTGAGTAATTCTAGCTCCTAAGTTCACCTAGACTCTGTCCTTAATCCTAACAAGTGGTATCAGAGCGATATTAAGGATATTAAGAGGAGTCTACAGAAGTTTGAAGACTTTTCTAGGCCTACCATGGCCTGTGGGTGTGCCTAAGTGGTGTTCTAAAGGTTGGATGTGTCTTCTGCTAAGAGGAAACTCTGCCGAAATTTCGTGGACGCCGACACTTGTGAAAATATCGAGGGAGCTGAGTGTGGACAGCAAAGGGGAGCTGAAATTCGTCATTTCTCAAGGAGAAGATGAATGAGTGAGGAGGAGATGCTAATGGAAGAGGAGCTGTACCTGAGAAGACAAGTGAGCTGCCGCCATCAAAAGTTGAAGCTTTGGATGGCTCCAACTATGAGGAATGGAGCGGGCGGATGAGGAGTGCCTTCAAACGCTACAAGCTACTGGAGATTGCTGTTGGGGAGGAGAAGATGCCGGAAGAAGGCGAAGCACGTGAGCGGTGGATTGAGAAAAGCGCGGTGCTTTTTGACCTCATCCTTCAATCGGTCAACAAGGAGATGTTCGAGCACATCAAGGATCTTGTGGAAGCGGATGATTCGGGTCCAAGGGCGTGGAAACTACTACGCGATGTGATTCAGCCCAACACTCTCCCGCTGGTGATCGTGCTCGAGAAGGAACTTGCTGCCATCTCCATGCGACCAGGGGACGATGTGAAGCCGGTCCTTGACAAGATCAAGGACACCTATGCAAGGATGGCAGCAGTGTATCTCAGCTGCAGCAGTGCACCAAGATCATCTCGGTGTTGGACAACTCTTGGGACAACCTCATCCCCACCCTCAACTCTCAGCAAGATCAATGGACACCTGAGTGGCTAAGGCAGCAGATTCTGCAGGAGGACTTCCGCAGACGCCATGTGGGAGGTGGTGCTGCCACTAAGACTGCTGAGGGGTATGAGGATGTGCATGGGCATGGGAGTTCTGGTGGTAGGGGGAGTACCAGAATGGAGGGCACCTGCAGGTACTGCAAGAAGGTCGGACATCCTTGGTTCAAGTGCTTCAGCAGGCCGGAGGGATGGGCACCTCCAGGCATGTAGCCGCCAAATGGTGAACGCGCACAAGGTGGCGCTGTGCAAGGCTCAGGTGCACAAGGTGAAGGTGCACAAGGTAATACCTATCCTGGGATGTTTCTCATGGTTGAGGATGTGCATGGGCATGAGGGTGATGTGGGATCTGTAGGAAAGGTTGTGATGCACCCTCTCACGCACTGGGTGATTGATTCAGGTTGCACCAGTCACATGACCCCACGGGCAGATATGCTTGATGAGGTAAAACCCCCTGGAAAGATTAAGTATGTGGCAGCAGCGTCAGGTGTTTTGCTCCCTGTGATTGGTGTTGGGAATGCCAAGGTTAAGGGAGCTAATGGGGAGCTTGTGGGGCTTGGGAATGTTCTGCTGGTTGAAGGTTTGTGTGCTAACCTTCTCTCTGTGCGGCGACTGCAGAAGAGCAAGGCCGAAGTGACCTTTGGACCAACCAGCTGCCGTGCTAAGCTTGGGAAGAAGGTGCTGTGGAGTCTAAAAGAGGAGACCAGCTGCATCAAGGACCTGTGGCAGCTGCCCATCATCCTTTGGAATGGGAAAACTCCAACAGCAGCAACGGCAACAGCGGCAAAGGCAACAGCAGGAGGAGATGCAACTGCACCAACTGATGGGGTCCTGGAAGCAGTTAAGAAAGTGCAGCAGCAGCAGACACATGGTGAGGTGCTTGCTGGTGTGGATGCGAGTGCGGCATGGGCTAAGGCTTCATCAAGGAGTGGAGAGGCCGATTGGGAGACATGGCATGAGAGGCTGTGTAATGTGAACTTCCCTATGCTGCAGAAATTGGTGAAGGACGGGAGCCTGAAGGGCTTGGAGGTCAAGGGAGGAGTGAAGGAGATTGGGAGCTGCCCTACATGCTTGGAGACCAAGTTCTCCAAGTTCCCCTTCAACAGCACTACAGGACCAGCCAAGACCCCACTTGCACTTGTGCACATGGATGTGGTGGGGCCCACAAGAGCCCCTTCCCTCTCAGGCAACCGCTATTTCTTGACAATTGTGGATGACCACACTCGGGAAGTGTGGGTTTACCCTTTGAAGAGCAAGGGGGAGGTGGCAGCGGCTGTCCTTAAGGAGTGGATGCCTAGAGCTCAGAGGGAATGCGGACACAAGGTGAAGGTGATCCGCAGTGATAATGGTGGGGAGTTCATTGGAGCTGATTTTGAGGGGGAGTTGAAGAGGAAGGGGATCCAACATCAATTGACAGTGCCCTACAACGCGCAGCAGAATGGCGTGGCTGAGAGGTTCAACAGGACCTTGTAGGAGGGGGCACGCACTCTCCTTGGGCGTGCAGGGCTGCCTGATCCGTTTTGGGTGTCTGCACTGAGGCAGGTCGCCCTTGTGAAGAACAGGGTGGTGGCTACAGTTGGGGATAAGGAGTGGATCCCATATACCAAGTGGTATGGGAGTGCTCCAGCTGTGAACATGCTGAGGGCATTTGGGTGCCATGTGGTGTTTCATGTGCCTAAGGAGAAAAGGGGGAAGTTGGAGGCTTCTGGAAGATGGGGTGTGCACTTGGGGTTTGCAAAGGATCACAAGGGGTGGCTGCTATGGGACTTGACCACCCAGAAGTTGACAGTGTCAAGGGATGTGAAGTTTCTGGAGTCCCTGTACTACAAGGAATGGAAGCAGCAGCAACAGAAGCTTCCATCTACACCGCTCATTGTGGAGGCAGGCCTTCAAGACAGGTGGAGGTTGCAGTGTCTGAGGAGGAGATGTCTGGGGTGACTGAGGAAGGGGGAGCAGCTGAAGTGGAGCAGCAGCAGCAACAGCATGAGTCTCCACCTCGAGTTCCACACCCGCCTGAGCGATCTAGGAGGGATGTGCGCCCTCCGGTGAGGCTGACCTATGGGGGAAGAGGCAAGCCGAATGTGGTGCAGGCTGGGAGTGTGGTTGAGCAGATTGAGGAAGATGAGATTGCATTGTGCTATTGGGCTGCAATTCCTCAGCCAAAGGTATTGACGCTAGCTTCAACTCAGTGAAAGCGGATGGCACCAGCATTGGGGGTTATGTGTGCTTGCTGGGAGGTGGTGCTGTGAGCTGGCGCAGCAAGAAGCAGAATGAGGTGGGATTGTTCTCATGTGAGACTGAGTACATGGCCTTACACCATGGGGCCAAGGAAGTGGTGTGGCTGAGGCGCTTGTTGGAGGAGTTGGGAGTTGGTCAGGAGGAGCCGACAGTTGTCTTCTGTGACAATGAGTCTGCAGTGAAGCTGGCCAAGAATGCTTGTCTGCATGGGCTGACAAAACACATAAAGCCTAAGTGGCATTGGGTAAGGAGACTCCTTGATAAGGAGGTGCGGCTGGAGATAGTGAAGACCCATCAGCAGGCAGCAGATATTTTCACTAAGCGTCTGGCGGAGGCGGATCATTCGAAGGGCATGAAGCTTGCTGAGATGAGTGTGCATTGAGTATGCATGCTTGCGATGTGATATGGTGGATGATGGTTGGCAGCCAGAGGGGGAGATTCTTGTGTGATGTCATCATATGCTATCACATTCTGTCTGCCTCCCATCCCATGTTTTCAACTTGCACGTATGGTTTGACAGTGCATGAAAGAATTTGTGTGTGGTGTGTTATGGAGTTTGGGAATGTGTTTTGTGTTTTTTTGTTTGAGCAGGTATTTTGTGATGATAGATCTTGAGAAGATCTTTCGGACGCAACAAGAATCGCTTCAATCGGAGCAAGAACGCGAAAGCTATGAAGGTTCAAAGTTGATGAGCTTGCGTTATAATTGCGGCGGTTACAAAGTGAAATTGTGGGGTGACTTTATATGGAGTTGGGACTATTGGGAGTTGGGGAAATTCGTCACTCTACTGTAGCAGCTGCAAAATTGGTTGGGAACAACCAAGCTAGGTTGGCAAGGGTGGCCAACTTGGTTGGATTGGTTGGGAAGGGACAAATGTCAAAGTTGGGGTTCCTATAGGGAGGGAATCTTTGTGCTTATGGGGTTTCCTTGGTTGGGGACTCTCTTGGGACCTTCCCTCTCATCCCTCTCTTCCATCCCAACCTTTCTCTTGCTCCTCCAATTCCTTGTGAGATTCTTGAACTTTGATTGAACTTTTTGAGATTGAGTTAAGTTCTCCTCCTACAGCTTACCCCTCAGTGCGTCGAAAGACATAGCGTCGCGAATACTCCATCAATTGACATGATTCAAATTGAGAACGGTAGCTAAGATTACAAGCTACAACATATTCGATTTTCGAGACATTCAAACGGCTAGTGTTTTGTCGACGTCGTTTCTTGTGAAGACGACTTTTCTGTCCAGAATTTCAGATTTATATTTTGAGTAATTCTAGCTCCTAAGTTCACCTAGACTCCGTCCTTAATCCTAACAAGTGGTATCAGAGCGATATTAAGGACATTAAGAGGAGTCTACAAAAGTTTGAAGACTTTTCTAGACCTACCATGGCCTGTGGGTGTGCCTAAGTGGTGTTCTAAAGGTTGGATGTGTCTTCCGCTAAGGGGAAACTCTGCCGAAATTTCGTGGACGCCGACACTTGTGAAAATATCGAGGGAGCTGAGTCTCGACAGCAAAGGGGGAGCTGAAATTCGTCATTTCTCAAGGAGAAGATGAATGAGAGAGGAGGAGATGCTAATGGAAGAGGAGCTGTACCTGAGAAGACAAGTGAGCCGCCACCATCAAAAGTTGAAGCTTTGGATGGCTCCAACTATGAGGAATGGAGCGGGCACATGAGGAGTGCCTTCAAACGCTACAAGCTACTGAAGATTGCTGTTGGGGAGGAGAAGATGCCGGAAGAAGGCGAAGCACGTGAGCGGTGGATTGAGAAAAGCGCGGTGCTTTTTGACCTCATCCTTCAATCGGTCAACAAGGAGATGTTCGAGCACATCAAGGATCTTGTGGAAGCGGATGATTCGGGTCCAAGGGTGTGGAAACTACTACGCGATGTGATTCAGCCCAACACTCTCCCGATGGTGATCGTGCTCGAGAAGGAACTTGCTGCCATCTCCATGCGACCAGGGGACGATGTGAAGCCGGTCCTTGACAAGATCAAGGACACCTATGCAAGGATGGCAGCAGTGGGCAGCAGTGTATCTCAGCTGCAGCAGTGCACCAAGATCATCTCGGTGTTGGACAACTCTTGGGACAACCTCATCCCCACCCTCAACTCTCAGCAAGATCAATGGACACCTGAGTGGCTAAGGCAGCAGATTCTGCAGGAGGACTTCTGCAGACGCCATGTGGGAGGCGGTGCTGCCACTAAGACTGCTGAGGGGTATGGAGCTGCGGGGCGTGGCAGAGGAAGAGGGGGTTGGAGAGGCCGAGGCCATGGGAGGAGCTTTGGCAGAGGTAGAGGCCGAGGTGACTATAATGAGGGGCATGGGAGCTCTGGTGGTAGGGGGAGTACCAGAATGGAGGGCACCTGCTGGTACTGCAAGAAGGTCGGACATCCTTGGTTCAAGTGCTTTAGCAGGCCGGAGGGATGGGCACCTCCAGGCATGTGTCGCCAAGTGGTGAACGCGCACAAGGTGGCGCTGTGCAAGGCTCAGGTGCACAAGGTAATACCTATCCTGGGATGTTTCTCATGGTTGAGGATGTGCATGGGCATGAGGGTGATGTGGGATCTGTAGGAAAGGTTGTGATGCACCCTCTCATGCACTGGGTGATTGATTCAGGTTGCACCAGTCACATGACCCCACAGGAAGATATGCTTGATGAGGTAAAACCCCCTGGAAAGATAAATCTACAACAAGAACGGTAGCTAAGATTACAATCTACAACATATCCGATTTTCGCGACATTCCAACAGCTAGTTTTTCGTCCACGTCGTTCCTTGTGAAGATGACTTTTCTGTCCAGAATTTCGGATTTATATTTCGAGTAATTCTAGCTCCTAAGTTCACCTAGACTCCGTCCTTAATCCTAACAAGATTGCTTCGCTTCGCTTTGGTTCTCTTAGCTTCGTTTAGATTCGCTTAGCTTCGCTATGCTTCACTTCCCTTAGCTTCGCTAAGCTTCACTTCGCTTAGCCTAGATTCGTTTTGCTTCGCTTCCCTTAGCTTCGCTTCGCTTTGCTTCCCTTAGCTTCGCTTCGCTTCAGTTCGCTTCCCTTAGCTTCGCTTCGCTTCGCATAGCTGCGCTTAGATTTTCTTTGCTTCTCTTAGCTTCGCTTAGCTTCGCTTCGCTTCGCATACCTGCGCTTAGCTTCGCTTTGCTTCTCTTTGCTTTGCTTCTTTTCGCTTCGCTTCTCTATGCTTCTCTTCGCTTTGCTTCGCTTAGCTTCTCTTCACTTCGCATTGCTTTGCTTAGCTTCGCTTCACTTCTCTTCGCTTCTCTTCGCTTAGCTACGCTTCGCTTCGCTTCGCTTCTCTTAGCTTCGCTTCGCTTCGCTTAGCTTCTCTTTGCCTCTCTTCGCTTCTCTTCGCTTCGCTTCGCTTTGCTTCGCGTAGCTTCGCTTAGGTTTGCTTCAATTCCCTTAGCTTTGGTTCGCTTCCCTTAGCTTCGCTTCGCTGCGGTTCGCATAGCTGCGCTTAGCTTCGCTTTGCTTCTCTTAGCTTCGCTTCTCTTCGCTTCACTTCTCTTTGCTTCTCTTCGCTTCGCTTCGCTAAGCTTCGCTTCGCTTCTCATCGCTTCGCTTCTCTTTGCTTCTCTTCGCTTCGCTTCGCTTAGCTTCGCTTTGCTAAGCTTCGCTTCGCTTAACTTCGCTTCGCTTCGCTTAGCTTCCCTTGGCTTCGCTTAGCTTCGCTTCGCTTCGCTTAGATTCGCTTAGCTTTGCTTTGCTTTGGTTAGCTTCGCATAGATTCGCTTAGCTTCACTTTGCGTCGCATAGTTTCCCTTAACTTCGCTTTGCTTCGCTTAGCTTCGCTTAGCTTCGATTTGCTTAGCTTCGCTTCGCTTTGCTTAGCTTCGCGTAGCTTTGCTTCGCTCCGCATAGCTGCGATAAGCTTCGCTTTGCTTCTCTTTGCTGCTCTTTGCTTCTCTTCGCTTCGCTTTGCTTAGCTTCGGTTCCCTTCGCTTAGCTTCACTTTGCTTCGCTTAGCTTCGCTTCTCTTAGCTTTGCTTAACTTCGCTTTGCTTTGCTTAGCTTCTCTTTGAATAGCTTCGCTTAGCTTCGCTTGGCTTCGCTTCGCTTCGCTTAGCTTTGCTTGGCTTCATTTCGCTTCGCTTAGCTTCGCTTAGCTTCACTTAGCTTCGCTTAGCTTCACATAGATTTGTTTCGCTTTGCTTTGCTTTCCTTCGCTTTGCTTCGCTTCGCTTAGCTTCGCTTCGCTTCGCTTCCCTTAGCTTCGTTTCGCTTCCCTTAGCTTCACTTCGCTTCGCTTAGTTTCGCTTAGCTTCGCTTAGCTTCGCTTCCCTTCGCATAGCTGCGCTTAGCTTTGCTTTGCTTCTCTTAGCTTCGCTTCTCTTCGCTCCGCTTCTCTTTGCATCTCTTCGATTCTCTTTGCTTTGCTTCTCTTTGCTTCTCTTCGCTTCGTTTCACTTAGCTTTGCTTCGCTAAGCTTCATTTCGCTTAACTTCGCTTCGCTTCGCTTCGCTTCGCTTAGCTTCGCTTCGTTTCGCTTAGCTTCGCTGAGCTTCACTTCGCTTCGCTTAGCTTCGCTTCTCTTAGCTTCGCTTAACTTTGCTTTGCTTTGCTTAGCTTCGCTTCGCTTCGCTTAGCATCGCTTTGCTTCTCCTCGCTTAGCTTCACCTAGCTTCGCTTAGCTTCGCTTAGTTCCGCTAAGATTCGCTTAGCATCGCTTCGCTTCGCTTAGCTTTGCTTCGCTTTGCTTTGCTTCGCTTCGATTCACTGTCCTTAGCTTCGGTTCGCTTCTCTTCGCTTCGCTTCACTTCGCTTAGCTTCGCGTCGCTTCGCATAGCTTCGCTTCGCTTAGCTTAGCTTCGCTTAACTTTGCTTTGCTTCGCTTAGCTTTGCTTCGCTTCGCTTCACTTAGCTTCGCTTCGCTTCGCTTCGCTTCGCTTCGCTTCGCTTAGCTTCT